CTCCTGCCCTTCCACAGCGGGTGCATTTTAATGCTCTCCCTCTGCATAGTGCAGCCCTCACATTTTTTAAGCATCCTAAACCAGCAAAATAAACCTGCAAACACAAATCACATGCATAGAACATCAGAGTTGACTGAGATACCTTAACACAAAATGGAAAATACAGTTCTTAACTTCACCAATGGATCTACCAAGCAGTTAAAGTTTAAACCATATAAGTAAATAATTGCATGCATATACAACAGTCACCGATGGATCAAGCAATAAAGGTTTTTGCTTACTTCCTAATTACGTGTTTCATCACAGGTCAAGACAGATGGTAAAACGTAGATACCTAATAATCTGATAAAAACACAGCATCAGTGAATATTCATGCAAAGGAAACATTCTTCTAGATCAGCAAGGTCAGATAGCTAACAGATCCAGATTAACCAACCATTATTTTCAACAAAATAAGTAAAGAGCAAGCTACTGTAAAAAGGTACAAATAAAAAAACTTAATAGAGTGGGGAAAAAACTTTAACTGTAATTTCACGAAGGTAACTGGGTTCATCAATTAATCCCTCGGATTTGAGAAGATAAACTGAGGGTCGGTATTTTAGAACTTCAAAATAACATTTGATTAAGGACAATCCAATCTGTAAAGAAAAGGACAGTAAGGAGACACATGATGAGACTTTTACACAAAGCCTACAGTAACACATGGAAACAGAAAGCATTTTAGTTCAAACCCATTTCGCCAATCTAATAATTATGACTAACCCTTCTTTATTGGAAGACTCTTGCATTTATATACATAACATGACAATAAGGTCCAACACATTATTATAAATACCATGTCTTAAAGAACTTTATATGTTGATCTGGTAGAGTACTTTCCTAGTGCAATAGGCATGTCGCATGCCAGACATACCAAAATTTGACATCATCGTCATGAAAGAGTAAGGTATATATATGCTTGTAATAAGTATCAAATGCAATGGTATTGTTATAATTAAAGCATCCAAGAATACATAAGATTCAAATGTAAGAAAAGCTCCAAGAAGGAGCCAACGTGTAAAAAAAGCCTTGATCTGTACAGGGCCAACTTCAAAGTTTATCCTTTCATGATACCATACAGGGCCAACTTTGCGGTGGAAGGAGAAGTAAAAAGTTTACAACCAATAAAATGGTCTTGAATTTTTGAAAGGAGATTTATCTGGAATAACTCATTACCAACCTGGTTGCCAACCACTACTGATAACAAACAGCACCAACATGTTCATAAAGATTAAGATATTAAATGTAAAATACAGATAGTAGTATAGTACTATGATGTAAAGTATAAAACGTTTAAAAGTTAGTCAAGAAACCCCACCTCTGGACTCCACACAGCACAGTTTTGATGGACCCATATTCCGGCAATACCATAACGATCATTTACAGGACCCAACAGACGTCCAAGCCAACCAGGTTCATCACCAAAACCATCCCATAGGTTATAGTTAAGTTCCTCAGAGGCTGAAGAGCCACAGTATGCCTCATTCTCGCTCTCACCCGTATCATGAACTAATCTTTTTGGAGGTTTACCATCAGTCCCTCCCCCACACAAACCACACCTTCTGCCCTCCTTAATGTGTGGCTTGCCAAGTGTATCACTTTTCCTATGTTTAAACTTATCCACCTTCGCATTATTCATTTCTATTGCAAGCTCTTCATCAGGCTTGGATGAATAAGAATCCTTCCCTTCATGACACCCTGCTACTTCCACTTCATTTCTTGAAACTCTAACAGCTTCTGACACCCTAGCATCCCCTTGATTTTCTCCTTCCTTCACACACTCTAGCTGTTTCACATGCTTATCATTATTTTCTTCTTGAATCACGCACTCAGATTGCTCCACCTTTTCATCAGCATGTTCTGTTGGCTCCACATTGTCCATAGCTTCCACATGCTCATCAGCATGTTCCATCGTCTCCACATTGTCCACAGTTGCCACAAGCTCATTAGCATGTTCCATCGTATCCACATTGTCCACAGTTGCAACAAGGTCATCAGCATGTTCCATCACCTCCGCATTGTCCATTGTTGCCACATGCTCATTAACAATGCATGCTTCCTCTAATTTTGAATTCTCCCCTGCCTCAGTTATCATTGTGGAATCATCGTCCACTATTTCCATTTCCTTGCCACCATCCATTCCGCTATCCAATTGCATAGCAACATCTTCATTCTTAATTATCACCTCTGCTTCCTCCTCCACAGGTTCATCTTTATTCGCGGGCAATTCCTCTCTCAGTTCATGGTCTGAACTATTTGTTGCTCTAATCCTCCCTGGTCCCTTTGATTTGACAACTCTATGCCTCCCACTTTCAAATTCCCCATTCTTATCATTCGATCGAGTCCCCACCATCTTCTCTTCCCTTCGGCATTCACTCACCTCTTCATAAAGCTTCCGTTTCCCTTTTACCCCAAAACCCACATTTCTACCCCTTGATCTCAACCTCGATCTCCAACTTCCCGGCGTTTCCAAATCTTCCTCCTTCACACTCATCCCAGCACCCACCACTACATTCTTATCAACCTTCCGCCGCTTCTTCGGCGGTGAAGGAGAGACATCAAGCAAAATCGGGGCACGGCGAGCCCTCCCGCTCCGACGCAGCTCCACCTCACCACTCCCCGATCTCCCCGGCCCAGGTCCCACCCCACCATTATGGTTCCTCTTATACTCCTGCTCACATATAGCATCAAGCCTCTTGTGCTTCTTCCTAAGCCGAGGTCCTGACCGATTCGACACCGTACTTTGCTTCGACGAGAGTCGCATGGCAAGAAACACACAAAAATCCTATACAAAACTCTACAAAACCAGTGCTTATGTATATATCTGCGATTATATGCACAAAAATCTGAAGCTTTGGGCAAATGGGTATCGATTAATCGCTTTGTTCTTCCAATTAGGTGCCCGATTCAGCTGGATTTATAAAAGAGAAGCTGTATTGAAGTAGAACAGAGGCCTAAGGGACTCACCCGGACATCTCTGAGTCGATCGGTTTTATCCATGGACGATGAACAAAAAGAAATTCGAGAAAGGAACAGAAACCCTAGAAATCAATTTGGGGAAGCATGCTGAATCCCCCTTCAGCTGGTGAGAATTTTGGGGGTGTTTCCGGAAGATTGGGTCTTCTGGGTTCGGGACTCTGCGTCCTTATGAAGGTCTCTCTTTTCTTTCTCTTCCTCTGAAATCTTCTCTGTTTGCTGTTTAGTTATAGAGAGACACTTAGGGCGAAAGAGAGAGCGCGCATGGAACAGAGCTCCTCGCTGATTTTTATTTTTTTTGGGTTTCTTCCCCACGCGCACCCATCGTGCGTGTAAACAAGTTTTGTGATAATCGAGATCTCATCTTCTGTTCTGTTTAAGAAATACAATATTGGAATTGGAAATAAACTCCAAACTTGTGACTTTTAGCGTATGAATAAATGTTCTTAATCATTTAAGTTATAAATTTCTTACAAACTTAGATCAAGAGAACAAATATGTAATTTTTTGTGCGTAGTGAGTTTTTTTTTTTTTTTTGCTCAAGTTAAAAGATTCCGACAAAGTTTTAACAATATTACACTCATGTATTTAATTTTATTTTTGTATGTATTCTTCATGTTGATTAATGAACATTATATTTATTTTCTAAAAAAATAAAAAAGATTAAATGATTTATGCGAGTAAAGAAATTATACCAAAAATAAAATTACGTAGAAATACATGTTTTTAATATCTTCAAATTCCCGTACAAAATTTTCAATCTTTAATCCGAAAGAGCAAATGTCATTTCTTTCTGCTTTTGATACAAGAGCAATCAGTTTTATCAAGTCATACGATTTCAGATTAGTGGGAATTGGAATTGAGAAATGGGATTTGAGATTTGGGATTTTAGGTGGAAGGATTTGGATTTGGTTTGGTTCATGGGAGGTTGAGTACACGCGCGTGGAGAAAGAGTAGGGGGTGTGCAACTTATTAGTGTAATTTGCTCAATTTTGCAAGTGCATGTTTGATGCATGTTGTTGCCGCCAAATGTGTTGGATTCTAATTTTCGATGTAGCAGAGAGGGATGGGGTGGGAGTGTTTTGGCTGTGGCTGTACATATGTCATAACTCACAAGGGGATTCAAAGAAGCACCAACGGCTCTTTTTTAAGTGCCAAAAATGTTTAGGAAAACTGTATATTATATAGGATGGTGTTATTCACACATTTTTCTTTATCTGCGACCAACGAATCGAATGAAAGGTAAAAGGGGTGAGGCACCGCCTAATTATATATTTCGCCAATAAAACCAAGTAAAGAAGAAATTAAAATCAATTACAATCCTCAAGCAAAGGATCAGTAATATATTGAGGAGATTTCTCAACCCGAATCCTTTATGTAAAAGTGATAATATCCTAGTGGACAGGATGTTGGGTTTCTACATGTGACACTTGCATTTGAAACTCCCCCTCCCCTTTATTATTGTAATAGTTTCAAACATTCTCGATCCCCTTAATAATAATAAACTTTATAAAAAACGACAATAAAAAATGGGAAGTGATTTTCACACTTCTGTTTAATCTTGACTGTCAATTCGTCTAACCTATTCAATCCAATAACTAGAAGTAAAGAGGGATTTGTGAGAAGATAAAAAAAAAGTGTAAAAATACTTCCCTACAAAAATAACTAGTCACCGGGTGAGTATGAGCAAAGAATTCGTACTCAAGATTACCAAGAGGAATATATGATTTACTCATGCTGTATTTATGGTCAAACGATGTCGTTTATAGATTTGAGATTTAGCCCCATGGGAAACTAGAAAAATAAGAAAAGATTTAGGAATTAGCATTTAGGGTTTAGGTTATATCTAGAGAAGTAATTTCTGCACATCTCATTTTTTTTTCCTTACACACTCCTGTTTATTGCAAAGAGAAATTTGGAGACAAAAAGAAAAAAAAAAAAAACTGGGGTGTGTAGAGAGAGTGTGCGGAAAACATTTTCCTATATCGAAGAAAAACTTAAGACACGTCAATTCAATTCTCCATCCCCCAATATGAATTTGCATAAACAAAACAAAAACAAAAAACTTTGGTGGTAGAAGTGGAGCAACAGAATCACTTCAGATCAGTAGTGGTAAGAAATCAGGATTTTGAAGTGAAGAACTGGAAACCTTTGGTTCCTTCATTGTACAACTAAGTTAATTTTTTAAGAAATCCAACTAGAATCAGCTACCTAATTCTGTTCTTGAACAGAAATTCGACATTCTCAGGAGAATCGGGATTCCTCCTTGCGCTAATCTGTATAACCGCACCATCAGCGAGCATGTGTTGTAATACCCTTGCTATGTTCTTTGAGTCATCAAACCCAAGATGGTGACTTCCCAACAATGGTATCTGAAGTTCCTTCATCATCGTCATCATTCCTGTGGCCTGCAATCCATAACGAAGCAAAAGTCTTAATGTTGTGTGTTGGAATATACTTCAGAAGAAAATGTTTGGATTTAAACTTTTAGTGTAAATTGTTAAACAAGCTTTCGAATTCTTTTGATATTAATAAAGTCCACGAGTGAAGGTGAACGGGTTCTTTTCTTTCAAATTACTCTCTAAACACTTCAATATAGAATGCTCTTCTCAATCTAAGACAAAATGTATCAAAGCCATCTTTTATGCTTTTTTAACATCTAGATAAACGATTTAAATTAGGTAATAAAATTGAATCCCTCATTTCAATGCACTTATCCAAATGCAATCTAAAACGATTCAACACGGAAAAGATCCTAAGAAAATCATAAAAATTCAATCCCTATTTGATGTATCAACGAATCAGTGATTTTTCATAGAATTATGCTTGATCGCACAGTTAATCGAAAATACATGATATGGTAGACCACTGGAATCAAACAGATTTGGTTCAAGAAAAAGGAAAACTTAAGATAATACACCATACATGGACAAAGTGAGACTAAACCACAGAGAAGCAAACTGAATATAAGCCAAACCAGGGGAGGGATTAAACAAATTCTCTTTGTTATAAAATTGATTATGATGTGTAACCAGAAAAACTCGGAAAGCAATTGTTTCATGCTCAGTGATCAAGAAGCTTAGCATTGACGTGACCCTGTCAATTAATGGAAACTAATATACTGATTCTATGATTTGTAGGTTGATACAATTTAACATCATCAGGCCAAACCAATACCACACCCAACAAAAGTTCAAACTTCAATTGCATCAATATTCAGTATTAATTAAATTACCGCCATGTTTTGGTTAAACCATTCATCCCTCAACTTCCATATCACATATCATGAGCAAAAGGCATGTGACACGTTTTCTTAAAGATATGAAGATATAGTGTGAACTTACCCTTCTCTTGTAAAAATTTAGATAGACATCTTTGATATTGATCCATTCCATAAAATATGAGGGAAGCTTCATCCTTGACACTTTGCATTGCTGAGGAACTTTTGTTTTCAAATCCCAGTTTCCACTGATAATAGCTCAACAAGATAGATCAGAAAATCCAGAAATGATTCATCTCGATTGAATATCATAAGAGAATATTTCCTTAGCAATTTTTAGTGGAAATCGTGGAGTAAGTAAGGGGCAGCACTCAAACTTGAACACCAAATTTTACTGGAAAATAATAGTTCCATACGCCATGCTCAATATCAGAGCTAAACTAGCATCATTTACAGTTTAAAGTTAAGCAGAAAGAGAAAAGGTTTGCTATCATAAGATACAGGCCAGATATATTAATGAAAAGTGAGATTTACCAAGTGACGAATGCTGCTCGATTAAGACACCCACCCAACTCCTCTCCCCACAACTGATGCTGAATTAACCATGCTTCAAATTGTTGAAGAACATCCTTAAATGGTATAGCTGTATCATGCCAAACACTGCAAATCTGTATGTCATATTTATGTACCACTACAAGCATAACGAGAAAACTCCAAATGTAATTAACTAAAATTATTACAATATGACAATAACTTTTCAGTATTAGAACTAACATATGAAATAGTGTTCAACTTAACACTACAATTCCTGTTTATAGTCTACTTTCTCTCATGGGAACAACCCTTATTCAATTACTGTGATTGCTAGTCCGGTATTGAACCACTCTCTTAGAGGGTTATCTTCTTCACGACATTCTTCTTAGGCTTTTTAACCCAAGCACTCACCCCAAGAAATTTCTTCCAAATCAGCAATTTCTAGGTCTGCAAACTTGTATCCTAGTTCAAGACCTACAAATGCAAAATATTTCATTCTGACTGGGTCCATTTAGTTTCTTTCTGGTAGTGAAGTTGCTAACAAATTTAATGATACCAACTTTTTTCTTTTTGTATCAGATCTTTAGTTTCATGCCATTCGTTTTCCAGATTACATCAGATAACATCAGCTCTGTAGTTGTATCAGATCCGAAATATTTTAATAAGCTACTAGCTACTGTAAACCAAAAATTGAATGGCACTTGACAACGAAATTTTATCACAAAAACATATGTGATATGACAAATAAATAACTACCCATAACCATGTTAAAATATTTTTGTCTTCATCTAGCTTTCATTACCCTTCTTTCTAAATTTTTTTATATAGCTTGATCTACCAGTGTTTTGACTACTTTCTTAATCTGCTAAAATGTGATAAACGTGAAGCATAAGTGCCGCGTGGTCACAACTCACAACTAAATTACTTGCATACCGATCGACTCCAAATTTGCCATACTTTCCTTCAATATATTCATTTATTCTTGTCTCGCTCATCTCCGTTGGCCTCACGAATCTGCAAAGGAATAATGGAAAAAGTTAGAAACCAAAATTACTGTTCTAAATACTTGTGCAGGAGCACAATGAAAGGAAAACAAACAAACAAGAACCAAACAAAATAAATTATAAAAATAGAATTCGTACGGAAAATCAGCAATAGTAATGGTTTTCCCCTTAATTGTCTGAGCATTGGTTCTTTACAGAATACCAGACAGATTCATTGTTCCATTGGCAACATGTCCAATACTTATAAAAGAAGTATGAAAAATGTACCAAAGCAGATCCTGCTAGTAAATGGGGAACGTAAAATAAGCAATTGGTGGTTTGCATCATATGCTCCTGGTATACATTAATTTTATAGCTTTGAAAATTTTAAATCATGCTCAACTATCGTATGCATGAAACAGAAAACAAAAACAATATAATCTCTAGCAGGAAAGGCAGATTAGTAATTGAATTGCACTAAAATGTGTTGAGGAGGTGCTGTAAAACCTGTGGAAAAAATCCACGACATTCATGGTTTTTGCATCAATCATCAGAACTGGAAACTCAAGAATTTCAACTTTTCCCTCCAAATCAAGTACAAGAAAAAAATCTAGGTTCTGAAAGCGGATGCCGTTTGACATCGAATTCGTCACTTCAAGATCTCTAGAGCAGTTATGATTGAACTTCTCCATGTGCATAGGATCCTCCATCTTCAAAACAAAGTAACTCTAATTAGATTACATGTTCTTGATGTAATATGAATAATTAAACCATCAAACATGAATCTTTTTCCCCTTTAGTAATTGTCCTTCCAAGACAACCTGTGAATATCTATGTAAGAAACTGGTAGTTTTTCCCTTTCTACAACGCCAATATATGGCTAGTGACACATTCAGCAGCTAACCAAAACTCTAATTACACCAATATGCAAAATGTTACTGTTTGATCTAAAGACCAAATCCAATATGACATTCTAAATAACAGTAGAAATGGACCATGCTTATCGTGCTGAATATAAGCAATACCCTGCTGAAATGCCAGCATGCAAGATGATGATAACTGCAATGATAACATCACTACTAATTCCTTGTTTGCAATGCCAAATAAACACACACACACACACACAAAGACGGAAAAAAAACTGTACGTGTGTGCATGTGACAGAGTTAAGGAGGCAGAAAGTGAAAGAACGGAAGAAGAGGGGAAAGAAACAACAGCAACTCAAAGGGTAGAATTTGCTGGATTTTGCTAGAACGCAAGAAAATCTAAAGGGTTGGACTTACCAATGGATCAAACATGAAATCACAGGCTTCAAAACACATATCCCTCACGTGTTTGTTAGCCATATACCATTATTTACCAATAAACAATTTTTATCCAAACAGAGACAACATTCAAGAGATAATCAGCAGCTCACCGAAACATTAATTCCACTCACTCACAGGAAAAAATGCAACAGCAACGTAAAGCAAATCACTTTGTCTGAGGCATTCAATCAAACACATGGAATGCAAGATAATCCTCTACTCAATTACGATACAAACAGTATCCGAAAATGACGTCTCGACACCAAGCTAACTACACAAATTGTTCCAGAAAATCAAATTATGAGTAGAGTTGATTCGTGGGCTAAGATTGAAGACTTGAGGGTGTTGGTGGTCTGAAGCTAGAACCTACCATAGTGCACTTCCGTTGCGTGTAATACAAACACATGGGCTTCCACCGTTCGGCGGTCTTTCGAGGATGCGGGACCCGCGGAGCCGGTGAGTCTTGGGTTTCGGAAGCAGAAAGGGAGGCAAAGGCGGCGAGTGAACGGACGGGAGGAGGAGGGAGTAAGGGAGAAATGGGAAGGAAGGGTTTGAGAGTGGTTGAGAAGAGTGAAGGAAGAAGTGGGAGAGTGACAAGTCTGGCTCTCGGAAACGCCATTACTGCCGCTTTGCTTTCAATTCTCTGAGTCTCGGTCACTCTGTATGTGGCGGTTTTGCTTAACGGCCTCTTGGCGGGTAATCATGAAAGGAAAGGAAACAAACACCGGTCCAATGTGAAAACCGGTCGATTCATAATTTGAACCGATTATAATCCTGTCACACCCTTCTAATTACCCGAACCATTCTAGTCACTCAAACTAAACCAACTCGAGTTAATTGAATCGGTTTTCATACCAAAGAGTAAAGAAGTGTAATCTTACACAAGACCGAACCAAAAACGCAATTATTTTTTATTTTATTATTTACTATTATCATGGAGAGAGTTTAAAACTAATACAATAATTTAAGAGTGGGGAGTTTCAAATCCGGAATACATAAATATAAACTTAACATCCTATTCACTAAAATATTAACTGCTAAATATAAAAATGGGAGAAGAAGAGCTGAGCTTGAATTCATAAATAGAATGAAATAATAGCGAGCCTAGTAGGGCAACGAACATGGCTCAAGGGTATCTATACAAAGTCGTTCTCTTCTTCACTTAAGGGGGAAATGCACTCTTTGAATGATACTTTATTCATAAAAAATGAATTTTCCTTTTTTCAGAAGTTATACGAACTTTATAAAAGTAAATGTCACGCTCCGCGTGTCACAAATATGGGGCATTCTAATCAAAGGGTCATTCTCGGTCCTATTGGGGTAAGGCTAATGCACTAGCCAACCGATGTGGCGATGAACACGATGTGTCGTAAACCAAGCTGTTCATCTCGTAGACGGAGGAGATATAGGAAAATCACTTAACTTTAAAAGCAATATGAACCAACCACATATATTAATTTTTTGATATGTTGACCAATTTACACTCTGAACTTGCAAGTTAGTGCCAATTTCTACTATGAACTTTTATTAATGGCCAATTTCCTCCTCAACTATCAAAATTTTCATCAACTGTTCTGTCCAATTTGCCACCCAAATAACACGCGAAATGACGTTTTTACCCTACTACATGACTCATGCGTTGTCCACGTGACAAATATGATCATCACCAATATCGTGACTGTTGATGGTTAAAATGGTAAATATGTCATTACCCTTGATTGGCAAATTGAAAATTGAATCATCTCCAGTATCAGTTAATGAATACAAGGAACTGGAAGTGCTTTCAACTACAACATCTGCAATATCATCAAAATAGGTCACTCTATACAAAACCATTCTACGGAATGCACATGGCTGCTTCACGACGACCTTCAAGCATGTCGAAATAGCCAAGCTGAAATGTCGTTTTAGAGCGAAATCATCCAATCACTCTTCAAACTCGGTGACATCCATCACATCAGTCATGACACCCTGGTTCTGCATTTTACGCAAGTCATCAATCTCCGCGGCTAACAATGGATCATGCTTCACTTTATCTAGCTGCAATTTCGCAGGGCAAGCTGACAGGAGGAAAAACCAAAGGGTTAAACGATCTCACCAAGGGTACAAGTCCGTCTCATGTTGGGGAACAAAAATTTTAAATACCTGCAACAGGGCAGCGTGTGTTGTTTCCCCGTAAGTACTGGTGATTGCCCCTTTGTCATAAACATGCTTGCATATGATACTGCATAATCAAGGAAAAACTTTAATAAAATTGGAAAGGTCTACAAATGTACCGTATGAGATAAGCAAACATAAGTAGAGATTGCAAACGCCTAAACAACCACAAATACTCGATATTTTATAACCACGCTAACACTCAGCAAAGACCGTAACCAAACTCTCCCAACAAAAGAGAAGAAAAAAAACGTCTGAAGTTACTGATACAGCACCTCCGAACTGGATGCTCCAGTTCAATGACAGGCTTTCCACTCAATGGGCAAGTGACATTCAAAATAGTGCTTTGGTTGCTCGTCATTATAATGTCTTCCTGCTCTTCACCTGGCATAGGCTCTCCTGCATGATGAACTTTCTGCAGAAAAATATTAAAAGCACCATCCCAGAATTTAGATTCTTTTGCTTTTTTGTTTTTTAGGGAAGGTGAAGAATTCTCCCTAAATAATAAGAAGGTTGAACAATACCAAACATAATAGCTTCCATTCCTCAGTTAGATATTACTTCCATTTTAAAGAATATTTTCTCTGCTCCTTTGCAGATTTATGTTAAAAGTTCTACAAAACTATAAACAATTGCCCAACAAACAAGAACACTATGAAGAAATCAGTTTCATAAGAACTTACTTTCTGCTACTTCCACTTTATATTTTTATACCAGAGTCTTAGAAAGATTGCAACAATCCTTTAACTTCACGTTTACAAACAAGCAAAGACGATTAAGCACGAGTCAAACTTATGAGGCACAGAATGATGGTGAAACAAAACATGCAGCAAAAGAAGGATTTGAAACCCAAATATCAGTAGTGACCTTAACAACAGTCAACACAAATGACTGATCCTACAAGTTTCAAAATGCATCAGACGAGGTATAGTTTAGATACCAATGAAGCACTCAATATTCATTCCCAAGCATGGAGAATCATGTATCGTAAACTACATATCTCCATTTAGAGTAACCACAGGATTATCATACAACAGAACCTATTGTCATAAGCTAAAGAATGCCTTTTTGTTAACAAAGGCCACCATACTATATGGTCCTTCTACCCTTAAACATGCATAAGAAAAACTACAATAAACAGTATTTCCACGGATCATATTCATTCTGGACAGATATAACACCTAAAACTATCAATTTGCTTTGGAGTTAGACCTGTTATAATCCAATAAGTGGTTTACCTCCCCAACACTTGCCTGGCTTCTTTGCCTATTATTTGCAGTTCTAATTCTTTACATATACTAGCATGCAGCAACGAGGTTACAGTGGTCATTTACAACAGTCTAAGGATTGGCAAATATTAGTAAGAAGAGAGCTTAATAAGAAATACACTTGCTCAGTTTAAAGAAAATATGTACCCTTTTAACCATAGGCATCGATAGCATTCCCTTCAATGCCAGAAATAAAATAATTACACAAAATATTGCTAAGCTAGGCAGAAAAAGTGTTTAAAACAGTTGTTTGGTTTCTAACTAGTTGGCATCATTCCATGTGAACTTGCCTGTCATAAGAAACTCGAGGCAAAGTTTATTACAAAAAACCGAATAAGAAGCAACATTTACCAATTCATTATGCTTGCTTTTAGCATTGTCCAACTGCATCGTCAAAAGTCAGTGAAAATTTTCAAAATCTTATTCTGTGCATTTAAAGTAACAAAAGTTCATACCCAGACACCTTCCCGGAATTGACGCATTAGTGGATGGTTTTGGGGAACTGAAGATGAGTTTGCCTTCAGCTGTGCAACCTCATTCTTGAACAACTTATCGAAATCCGTAAGCTGGTCCATCAACATCAAATAACCATATCAGCTTGGATGGATTAGAGAAACAACAAATAAATAAGCAAAGTCATTGAATCAGAAACTGTGCAAGAAGCAGAAAATTCCTAGCACCTCTGGCCCAGGTTGGTATATAACTCCAACAGATTCAATTGCCGACGAAAAATGCGAACAGTCTTCATAAGTATCCACCAATTCAACAACGGCATTTTCGAGCTCTTTCACCTGTCCCATTTTCGGGTTTTTCATATCTCGACAAATGCTTCATATCTTGAATCTATGATCTATGATAGGACATTTTAATCACATTGAAATTCCATTTTCTCTTAACAGTTTCTAGCTAAAAAATCCAAATGGCAATAATTAGATAAAACCCAAAACTTTAAATTACTCAAAAAATTCAGAAATTTGATAAAGTTTCAGGCTTTTAGCAGCAGCACCTACAAATTTCAGAAACTAAAACCACTTCTCGTTCAAAAAAATTAAATTAAATTAAATTGTTTTTTAAGGAAATTACCATCTCAAACTGCTTAGCCCTTTCAAAATCAACTGCAATTTCCTTCATCAAACTGAAAGCTTTCCCAATATCCTGAAAGCAGAGATAATCTTCCATAAGAAAAACAATAAATTGCTATTTTTTTCATTCAAAAATAAAAAAAGGCATAAGTCCTAGGAGCTTACGAGATAAGAGACTGGTTGTCCTCGTGGAGATTGGATGTGGCGGTTCGGATCCGTCCAGTGACGCCATGAGTGCGAGAGGTCAAGGCCATGGAGGGACGTGGGTTTTAGGGTATTTCCACAACCGGGTTTGGGCGAACCGGTTGGCTGATTGGCGGGTTCTTAGCTGGGGAGTCGAGGCAACAGTTCAGGAGGACGGACTCTGAGCGATTTTGGAGGGAGATTGAGTAGAAAGAACAAAAAGTCCGAAACGGCATCGTACTTCGGGTTAGTTTGGGAGTGAGGTGCTTAATAAAACAGCACTCATAAAAAAAGATTGTGAGGGTTTTAGGTGTTTGGTAAACTAAAAAAAAAAGCTTATTTTGAAAGCTGTTGTGAGAATAAGTTGAAATCAAATGAAAAGCTGAAGCAGCTATTTGCTGCTTTGGAAAACTGTCTTTTTTTCAAAGCACATAGAGCTACAATGCTCCTTTAATGAAAAGACCCACGCGGGACTTGTGGGCGAAGATCGAGTCGACGGCGAGGGAGGAGATCTCGACAGTGAGGGAGGGTTCGGAGGTGGTCATGTCGATGAGGATGCCTCCGGGGCGGAGTCCAAAGAGTGCGCCATTAAAATTACAAATGATGTCATTATCATTTAAAACACCAAAATTTTCCATCTCCCTCATTGTAAATCACGCAGCAGCCACAAAACACTCTTAGACTTCAACCTCCCCGCCTCCCACCACCTTCAACCTCCATTACTTCAACCTCCCCCGCCTCCCGCCACCTTCAACCTCCATTTTTCGGCCTCACAACACCATCAACCTCCATCGCCTCCCACCACCTTCATCATTCGACGAATGATTCTGATAAACAATTCGCATTTGTGCTAATTCCAATGAACAATTCACCCTTGCGACTGAGAAATCACGATCAAGGTAATATGTTTCTTCCCATTTTCTTCTTGTTCTTCAATTTTTACGTTTTAGGTTATTTGAGTTGTGTTTATGAGGGATTTGGTGTAATTTTGCGCACTATACCTTTTGGTTTTGAATTTGAGCTTGTTTGGATGTTAAAATTGGTTTGGGCATATAATAAATTTAGTTTGTTTCGACATATTTGTTGGCTGTGTGTATGGTTATTCATGGTGGTTATGTCGTTTAGTTTAATCGTCGCTTCCCGTGTTCTATGATTTTGCATTTAGATTCAAATAAGTTTGTGGATTCAGACACTTCGTTACAGTGTCAGTTTCATGTTCTATGATTGTGCATTGAGATTCAAATAGGTTTGTGGATTCAAACACTTCATTGCAGTGTCTGTTTCTTGTTCTGTGGATTCAAACACTTCGTTGCAATGTCTATTTCTTGTTCTGTGATTGTGCATTGATATTCAAATAGGTTTGTGGATTTAGACACTGCAACGCATTGTCTGTTTTTTGTTCTGTGAATTCAGACACTTCGTTGCAGTTTCTATTTCATGTTCTATGCTTTTAAGTTAATGGATTCAGACATATAGTATTAATATCGCTAACAAAAACTTTTTTTTACTTTTTTTCTTTTACAGTTAAAACATGTCCCCAAAAAAAGTTAAAGGGATACATAAACAAGCGAGAGAATGATGGATATTATTGATTTGCACTCGAGAGGATATTACTTATTCGCACAATGGAAAATGTTGTTAGTTTTATGTATTGTCACAGCCTGTCTCAAGTTATTTTATCGATAGCGTGAATTAACAAAATTGCCCTTGAGCGTTTGGTGATGGTGTGTGTAAATGGGCTAAGGTTTTGGACCAATTAAGTTCATTTCCTAACTATTTGGATCCAATCAAATTTTAAAGTTTTATTTGTTTTGGTTGGTGACCCAATTTGGACCACACACACTCACCCTCATCCAATTCCGTTGACTCTCTCTCTCCCTCTCGATTTTCTTCCCATTTTCCGTACAAATCGTACGGACAAGTTTCAAGTATCCAATTCATTCACGGATCGAAGACTTGAAAGTTGGTTTTGTGTTCCTTGCAAGCCCAAGAACACATTGGTACCCTTAGTTGGTCGCGAGGACGTCGGGATTGTGAGAACTCGAATCCCGATTTGATGCACTGTTCATGCACACGTAAATGTAGAGTTTTTGGAAGATTCTAAGGTTATAGGAAGCTTTAGATCACTCCCCCAAAGCTCGGAGAAGAGAGTTGAGGCGTTTTGGACGTCAGGAAGCTCGGGAATAGTGAGTTGCAGAGGTGGCCGGTTATCGTGGATTTTTCCGGCGAGATCCCATGAGTTTTAGGTCCTAAAACTGGTAAGGATTTGTTCTACTTGTCTTAAGCTTCATTTTGTTATAAAATTCGTGAAATTTGGTTGAGAAATGAAGAAGATATTAAGGTTTTTCGAATTTCCAATTTCCGGTGACGGCGACGGCGACCGGCGATTTGCCGGAGAAGAAAGGAGAATATTTTGTCAATATTGACAGAATATTCCTAAAGGCAGCTAACGGCGTCAGGTTAGTTTAACAGAATATTCTAATTTTTAGCGGAATATTCCCTAACGATGGTTAAGAATTCCGTCAGGGTTGATCGCGCATGGGGGCGCGTCTGGCCTTGCCTTGGCCGGCGCGTGACGGCACGTGGGACGTCGGAAAACTTTTCTAAAAATATAGGGATGTTCCTGAGGTTGAGTAGATCATGGTGGTATATTCAAATACCCCATTTGAGCTTTGTATGAGAAGTTATTACCTAATTTTGGTTATGTGCTTTAAATAATGTTTATTCAGTTATTTCGCATATATGTGAGACCTATCCTAAGGACGAGCACCATCAATCGAGACTCGGGGGCTACAACCCTTCGACATATCAGTGAATGAGTTTTTGGTTTTCCGTATATACCTATATACTTGAGATTTTTCCCAGAAAATGAATTTAAATGAATGTATGTTTTGGAAATGCCATGCAAGTATCTATCTATTTTAAGTATGCATTAGTAGTGCATACATTCATGATTGGTGCTGCAGACGTACAGGTAAGTTCATAAATCAAAGGTATGATATTGTTTCAATTATGTGAGATATATTGTAATGTATTGAAAGCTCATAAACCTGCACCCCGATGTTAGTGCTCCCGCCTAGAGTTAGGGCACAGTCCTTCACGTGATGTTCACCTCTCGCACCGTATGCTCACCTTGGATCCAAGTTAGGTGCACATGTTTGTCGTACATATCACTTTAGGTGGTTCCAACTCGTAGGTGACCCGCGATCATTCGCACAGCCTTCATGTGATTGTAGCACTAGAGCATATTTACTTTACACCTAGTCTTGTCATGCAGACCACTATAGGTGGTTCTGACTCGTGTGCAGGATTTGATTTGATTTGATTCGATATGATTGAGATTGGTTATGAGTTATATACTCAGCAGTGCAGTTTGATTTAGAGAGAATTGGTTGATGCGATATTTGATATTTATATTTTGCATGGTTTACCTATAGCATTGCATTGAGATACTTTGGCATGACATACTTATTAATATCGTTTCTTGAACATGGTTTTGAGATATGTATATATATTCTATGTTTCTGGGAAAACTATACAGGTTTTACGGCGAGGGGTTTAAACTTTTGAGAAATGAAATGATTTTTAAAAACTTTGTTTTTGCCCCCTCACACTTTCTGTTTTGCGCCCCTCAGGTTTTAAGTAAAAGTGCTTTGGTGGATCACGAGGATTCTAATGGGGGTTCTGACAGAACATCACCATGTAGGATCACCCTCGGATGTTGTATTATTAATACTTGTCCTGCTTGACTGCACTTAGACTATTTATGCTCTGGTTATGTATTTCGCACTTAATCTCTCACTAGCACTCTATCTTAACTAGTTCTGCTAGTAGTTTGGTTTTTATTCCTTCGCAATTCCCTTTTATCTCTATTGCTTCCGCACTGTGCACATGGTTACGTCACTCCCACGTGATGGCCAGCATGCCCTGATTTAGGTCGGGGTGTGTCATGTATCCTCTCATGGAAAATTTGGTTCTAGTTAAGTTGTTTTGTGATCTATATTTTCTAAGTCATATATATCTCTATTGGCCATATATATGGTTCTAATTAATATGAAAAAATTTCCATGGGGTCAGCTTTATTTTTCGTGGTTACGAACCCTTATCAGGTTCTACCTTAAAGGGCTAATAGGATTTGGAGTCGGGCAACGAGTTTTGATAGGGAGTAGATAAGAATCAGAGAGGGAAAAAAAAAATAATAAAGTCAAGAGAGAAGGGTATAAGGGTATAATTATTATAAATATTTGATTGATTATGTCCTAAAAGAAAATTGAGTATTGATTTATGACTAATTTGTAAAAATTATTGACCTTTAGCTAAATAACCTATTTGTATATCATGTTTTCTCTCTCTCTCTCTAAATCCCAAGTTTTTTTTATCTCTCATTCAAAAATGAAAAAAATTCAATAAAAACCAAGTTTACTCACATTTCCCTCATCACCTAATCTAACAAAATTTATCGTTTGACAAAAAAAGATAACTATTTAATATAATTTTCTTTGTCAACCAAAGAGGATGAAAAAAAAATTTATTCTACCACTTCAATTCAATAAAAATATTAAAAAGGAAAAAAAATGGATAATAAAATAATTTCACAAATTTTTTGTTTTTTTACATTTTTTCTCTTCCCTCACTACATGTCGTCAAGGGAAAACGATATTTCTAAATTGTATATTACGTTCTCTCTCTCTCTCTCTCTCTCTCTCTCTCTCTCTCTCTCTCTCTCTCTCTCTCTCTCTCTCTCTCTCTCTCTCTCTCTCTCCCACGTTTACCCACATTTATCTCCTCATTTGCTCTAATAAAATTTCAAAAATTTTCACCCAGTGGGGGGGGGGGCATTTTCTTGTATGACCTAAATAAAGAAAAGAGAAATTTTATTTAAACCCATCTAACCTATTTTTATACCCAACTTACTCTTTGCACCCATTTAATTTTTAACTAAACTATTAATATCTTTTTAAACCCAACTTTAATACCTAATATACCCCTATAAACCCAATTCAATATGTAGATTTATTTTTACACCCATTTGATTTTTAGAAGTTTGGCATCAAAAGATCTTCCAACGTAGCTTGATCAAGCTGCATGCCAATTCTTTTCTCAAAATTTGATATGCAATAAGGGTTCGCTCGAAGAATTAAGCGACTTGAAGAAGAAGATACAAGAATCGCACGGGATTCCGTTTGATCAACAGAAAATTCTACAACATCGTCTCCAGGGGGAAACCATGTATCTTGAAGACGATTCCTTCCCATTAATCGATTTGGTGTCGATACCCAACTGCTTCCTCTGCGTCACTGGGTAAACTTTTTCTTTCAGTTCTTGATTTTCCCTTCTTTGTTTATCGGAGAAGAAATATGACATTATCGTAAATAGGAGCAACTTTTAGTCCCCTCTCTCTAAGTCGATTTTGTTTTTTATTGGCAGTGTAAGGGTTGGTTTGGTATTGCTGTGCTTTGAAAAAAAGCTGCTGTGAGAATAAGCGACTGTGAAATAAATCAACAGAGTGTTTGGTAAACTTTTTTGTAAAAGTGCTTTTGGAAAAAAAAAAACAGTTTGATAGTGGATCTTTTCATTAAAGGAGCACTGTAGCTCTGTGTGATTTGAAAAAAAAGCCAGTTTTCCAAAGCTGCAAATAGCAGCTTCAACTTTTTCCTTTGATTTCAGCTTGTTCTCACAGCAGCTTCCAAAATAAGCTTTTTTTTTTTAGTTTACCAAACACCTAAAACCCTCACAGCTTTTTTTCATGGGTGCTTTTTTTTAAGCACCTCACTCCCAAACAACCCCTAACTCCCATAGCCGCCGCCGGAGGAGGAGAAGAAGAGAAAGATGAGACCTTCGAAAAGGATGGTAGTGTAACTTTTAGTCCCCTCATGTTGTTTCGGTTGCACATGCTTGACGAGGAGCTTGAGGTCAGTCAGTCACCTATGTGATGGCTAGTTCATTAGCGTCGAACTTTATTTGTAAATAGACTTGTAAATACAAATGATGTTGCTTCACCTTCTTCGGTTTTCTAGGGTTTTAGCTAGTAGGGTTTAATTATGACATTTGGGTTTATTAATAAATTTAAGTTTTATTATTAATTTCATTTTGTACTTAATAGTAATTATGTAATAGGGTAAAATAGACAATTAACATTCAAAATTTTAAGTTAGGTGTAAAAAGAGGTTGCATGGGTATAAATAAAATTTCCCTAAAGAAAATAAAAAAATATTAGTGTAGCTTTGCTCAACAAAAACTCCAATAGCAAACACAACACCAGAGTTGGTTGAACAAATAACACAATTCTTGGCTGCTAAGTCCCACCTTAAGAGAATAACATATATAAGCCCACATGAAACTCTAGAGCCTTTTCAAAAGCCATCGCACCAACAAATACTTCGAAAAAAACAAAAAGGGAGACTTTGGATATGGTCTCTAGCTATCAATATTCTTTGACTTAAGCCTTGTTGGTTTTTAATTTTGATTGAAGTACCTGAAATTAATGTGATACTTTATTTCTATATATGTTACTATATTTTTTAAATTAAAATTTGAAATTTATAGTTGTTTATATTAATGAGATTTTAAATAAAAATCAATGATCTGTGCTTATTGTACCAAAACATGGGTACAGTCTTCAAAACCACACAAAAAAAAGTAATAGATATTAGGCTTAATAACATTAGTAAATTTTTTCGATTAAACTTGACATGGATACATTCTCAAATCAAAAGAAAAGAATGTACCCATATAAGTTTAAAAATGGTTAGAAAAAAAATTGAATAGATTTTATATATAATAAAAAAAGGTACATTTTAAATATAACAAATTGATATATTTAAGAACGGGTACATTTTAAGATTAAAAATTGGAAAACAAATTACATGAATGGGTGCATATATGATTAAAAAATTGAAAATATTTTTTAAAAAAGCTAATGGGTACAAACTTATTCTAATTTTTTATTTATTTTAAAAATTAGTTAGGAGTTTAATAAAGGTGTGAGTATTAAAATCCTAAATCAGTTATTAATTTTTATTTTAAAAAATTATGTAATTAACATGTAAATTCATTATTACATTAATGTTAGGGATTTTGATCAAAATCTGAAAACTAATAAGGTTTCAGTCAATAAACATTAGTAACTAGGAATCAAATACTAAATTTTTCCTTTAAAATCTATGTGCTTAGGCTCCGGAGTATATGATACTCTTGACCTTCTAATCGCTCAAATTATAATTTTTGTCTGACCTAAAACCTAACGATTATAAGGCTCAAAGTATCATATGCTCCAGAGCGCTATAAAAATAAAAAGCCTCCTTCAACAATAGGCTAGCAACGTAGCGCAAAACATTATTTGCTTGAAAGAAGAAAGTTTATTGAGATGCAACCATTCTAATGTCACTTCTCTTCCAATATTAAAAGATATTCCAACTTCAAATCTCTCACGCCATTAATAAAAAGAAAACTGGTCGTAAAATAATCCCTCATTCAAACAGTCATGAGTCCGTTATATATATATAATGTTCATGTTTGCAACCATAGTCTCGCAGTCACTCACAAGCTCGCTGAATTAAGTTAGCTTTGGGATTTCATGTACGTCTTTGGACTTTCTATACCCCGCTTTGTTGTCAACTGTTGGTTACTATGTATGAAAAGAGGTTCACTGTTATCATGTCATCAGGGTTCAATCATACAATATTATGTAGGATTGAACATGACATTGCAATATTAAATCGGAATATGACATAACAGTAAACTTGTTTCATGTAAATTTTTCTTCCAAATAAGAATTACGTCATTAGGACGCCCCATACAAATGGGAGAACTACCTCATCATGAGGTACCGCTCAATCACGATGGCCGTAAATGAAGGTTAACAAAACTTTGGAAAGGGAAAGATCAAGGGCCGAAAACCACTTGCATTCCTTGTTGTTTGGGTTCGTAGATATCTACATGATATATAGAGAAGAAAGTCCACTGGTGCTGTGGTGACATAGCGATGGTTATAACTTATAAATAGTTAGAGATTAAGGCAGTTAGGAACTCAAACTCATTAAAATTGTGCTAAAAGCCTTATGTGTATACTAACGTGTTATAGTAAGAGCAGACAACATAATTAATATGTCTAATTTTTAATGTATATTAAAAAAAATTACATGTTATAATTTGAATAGAAATAATAAAATCACATAACCGTGTACACTAAAAAATTACTCAACAAACTGATTGAATATACAACAAACTATATGAGGATACTGCTATATGATCTTAGTCAGCTCTTCGTACATTAATGGTACAACAGACTGATTGTCTCACCAAATAATTCAACAGCAACAGTTGAGAAGGGTATTCAATTCAATTAAGTTAGCCTTCTTTTGATCTTGATCGACAGCTGGTTAGTATAGCACACCACCATGGAAGAAATAATACTAAGACCCAATTATAATCTAATTAATTTACTGATTGAATTATACCATGTCATGGAGATCAACTTACATGACATGCCTGCGTTCGAAGTATATTAAATTGCAATGTAATTAACTAACAGCCGAGTATGAAAAAGAAATTCTAAGATGAACAAAACTTAGAAGTTTTCTCAAGCAGATTCAAAAGTATATTAATAATATATAACCCCATAATATTAAAGATTAAACCCATCAGTTACCAAAAGAAAAGAAGGATTAATCCCATCACTGCATGCCAATCAAACAAGCATAGAGCTCCTCAAGTTGCTTAACCGCATGATCCCCATGCGGCTGCATGCTAGAACTTCCAACACCAACCTCATCACTACAATTAGAAGAATCAAACACTGAACAAATTACAGGATTAGCAGGAAACACTTGTGCTTGTTGGTTCAAGGCCAACACAACTTCATGAGCCCTCTTAAGCTCGCCTCTAAGCCTCTCAACATCTTTCTCAAGCCTCCTCTTTTCAGCTAGGGCACTTTCCAGCTTCGCTTGGATTGCATTGTAGTTGAGCTCAAGGCTCTGCGTCTTCCACCGCGCGCGCTTGTTCTGGTACCAAATCGCAACCTGTCTCGGTGGGATTGCGAGCTGCTTGGCCAGCAGAAGCTTGCGCTCTGGTTCAAGCTTCTTGTTGGAGGCAAAGCTTCGCTCTAGGAGCTTCACTTGGTCTTGGGTTAGCCTCTTTTTGTTGTGTTGGAATTGGTTTTTGTGGTTTGAGGTCTGGAAAAAATCCATTATTTGGTTGATCTTGCTAGCGAGCTGTAGAGTGTTTTTTTTTGTCAAAGAGCTGTAGAGTTGCGTGATAAGCTTGGAGGTTTTGAGCTGATCTCAGTTAAATATATACTTAATTATGTTCTCTAATTTATAAGTATTGAAAACCTGAGAGACTCCAGGCCCCTGTGGTTTTTCACGTGGGATGTAACCCTACCCTCTACTTCTGCAATTTTAAAATATTATCTTGTATATATATACATACATACATATATATATATATGACTTTTAAGTTTTTGTTAATTAATTCTTTTTAATCAAAATAAGCATTAATTCCTTTCCATTCTTCCAGTGTTCTAGAATTTTTAGTTTGTGTGTAATGTTTGAGTCGATGGTATAAAATTGATGTGATTGTGATTTTTTTTGGTACTATCCACATATATTTTTTTAATTTTTTACATATATTTTTAAATTTTCAACAGTTGTATAAATTAAAGAATTAAAAGTTAAAAATTAACAGAAAATGTGTGGATAATACCACAATTTATTTTTTTTATCAATTTTATGGGATGTTCCCGAAGGACCTTTTCTCTTTTGTACGTATTACAGTGCAACAAAGACTTGAAGCTAACCTATATAGTATTTGATCAGGAGCAACTTATCAGTTATTACCCCAAATTTATATGCGACTTTTGATCATTTGATTTTTGTTTTTTATCTCTAATAAAACAGGACAACCACTTCTGCTGACTTTAGACCGATTAGCCACAGTATTCATGGACGGCGGGGTTTCCAAGTTGTTATAAATTGGCCGCCATGTCCAAAGTTCACAAGACTTCGAGACTCTTATCTCCTTCTGTTAATCCACTCCAATGTTACTTGAGTTCATTAGGGCATGTTTAGTATGTTTTTTGATCCAATTTTTTGTTTTTAAAACTAATGAATAGCTTTTTATTGACTACATGGGTACAAAATATGTTCATCAGTGCAACAAGAGACTTCAATAAACTTTTATGAGTGATATATACACAGACGGAGTTTTCAACTTGAAATATTGCATTCTTATTCTAGTTGGTTAATCAGTATAACAATAGACTTGAACTTAAATTCTATCATTTTTTTAGTTTGAATTCATAAATACGTCATTTTTAAGAGAAGAGCGTCACCAATTAAAATTAATACGATGCTGTGACCTTTGGGCCTCTAAGCCAAATTCTGCTATCTTACTGTGTTATATATCTTTCGTATAGCATCACCCATTTGAGTTGTTATCTCAATCGTAAACTTTGAGAGTTCTCCTATACATTTTTGCGGATTCCAATTTATTAATTTTTAGGGTAACTTAGTACTACTGTTTAATGGTATATCTCTTCATTTGTAAGTGAGGGGTTTTATGTTCGATTCTCGCCGAAGGCTAATTTGAACCACATTTGCTAATCCATTGTGAGGCTAAGCTAACCTTCCTCTGTTTAGTGTAGATAATATTTTTTGTTAAAAAAAAGTTACTAATTTTAAAGGTTATTTTTTATGAAATATTATAACCTTGCGTGAAATCTAGTACTTTCTCCAACGTATTGATATCTCTATGTTGAAGTACAGATTAAGGGATTTGGATCCTAATAGAATCCTTTTTATGATCCTTACATCCTATCTGTTTATCGAACATCGTGCAGTCATAAATCATTTTGAATTTTTTATATTTAAAATTAAACACCAACAATACTTAATGAAAACTGACAATATGATATATGATGAACAAATAGGATGTGAGGATCCCTAGAATCCTCACAAAAAAAAGACCCGGAAAGGATCCTCATCCCAAATTAAGAAGTACACAACAACGTGGAATTAAGCAACTTGTTTCTGCTGAAAAAACATAAAATATCTTATACATTGCTTTTAACACCAACTGCAATGGTTGGATAAAAGCTTAAATTTTAGGGAACTTTAACAAAAAGCATCCGGTACTGTTCATTTTAACGAAAAACCACATTTTTACACTAAAAAGTCAATCCTAGTACTATTCACTTTACCCTTTATTTTGTCCTTATCATTAAAACTCAAAGTTTTCAAACCCTTTTCATTAATTTTCCTTAAATTTTAAGCTTTAACACCCTGTTTCCTAAGCATTTCCAATCATTAGACTAAAATAAGCTACGAGGAGAAAATTTGGTTTTGGGATTGATTCTGCCCAAAAATTGAGCCAGGGATACAAGGCGGGCCTACCACTGCACTTGAACGCCACACGTGGCACACTTACGAACCTCACTTTTGTTGTTGGGTCCCAGCATTGACGGCTTCGTCTGCCACTTGTGGCGAGCCTAACGACTCTTTTTTTTTAATCCAACGGTTGACGATTTTGAGTCGCTGGTTGATCTAAAGCTCCATAATCATAAAAAAAAAAAACTTTTATAATTACCTTAAATTGAATGACTAAGATCGAATATGAGAAAATGTAACAGTAAAATGAACTGGGTCCAACGGCCAACAATTAAAAAATATATTTAAGTCGAAATTCATATCAAAACTCTATAAATGCCTATGTATCTGTTCAAACATTCACACGAAATTCACTATAAATACTCTATAAATAATAAATAAATACCTAATTTTTATGTGTTTCATTTGTAGAAAGGGTTTCATGTTGTTCCATGACTTTCGTGTTTCATGTGGTGCATATGTGTATGAACCTGTGTTTAAGAATGAGATAGGTTGACTGATTTTTTGTTATTCAGAATATAAATATTTTTAGGTTAAAGTATTCATAAAAATAAAATTAGGACAATTTTCATCTTTGAAAAGGTTGACGAAAAAAAATTAGGCTAAATTTTCTTTTAATAATCTCATTTTTAGCCATAATCATTAAAGGATTAAAGCTGGTTCTGAATTATAACTTAAAATTTCAAGTTTTAACCCACGCGTGCACATAGTCTAAATCCGGAGATTCGAGAGTTTAAATGAAAAAATGGCCGCCCGCCCCCGTCTTTGGGTCGAGCTAGATTTGACCATCAATCTCAATTAACCAAGAGAAGATGACCCTTAATTTAGTCTTTACCTGCTGTCTTGATCTATAAAACTAGTGACAGAAGATTCTGAGGATGACACATTATCTAGTGCAGAAGTTTAGTAGGGGACATGAAAACTTAGATATTTGCATCAAGAGATTAACAAGATGTATAATTCCACTAAGCCTTGAAAATTGACTACATTGATCGAATTTAATTTCAGAGACTATTTTGATGTCGCAGATCAATTTCAGGGACCATTTTGATGTTATGGGTCAATTTCAAAGACCATTTATGAGAAGAAAAAAAAAGACTTATGGGACCCATTTATGTGCCACATCAACACTTAACGGAATTTTAAACATAATTGTGACGGAATTGCCACATTGATTTGCGACACTTATTTTCAGAAAACTATATTAATTGATTTTCAATTTCAGAGACCATCTTGATGGTGAGGGTCAATTTCATAGACCATTTGTGATAAAAACCCATTAAAAATCAGAAGTTCATAATTAACCTATCTTTACTTTTTATTAATTATTGTTTATGAGAGTCGACCTTCTAATTTCTTTCAACAAAAGTAGGGACCAAGTGGCATTAAACAAAATATAGTGGTGTGTAAGTTCGAAGTATCACAGTTTGTATAGCTGCTGCAAGTTGTTCAAGTTGATCATGACTACATGGGTTTGGTTGAAATCAAACCCTTAATATGCTTCTCGTAATTTACGGCGCTTCCGTTCTAGATAAGGGTACTGTAGTCAAGAGGCTCTCCACCACTTTTGGAGCGTCATGTGATTGGACTTGAAAATAAAGGAGTATGATTCTCTCATTTCCTATTCTCATCCCCTTTCCTCCCCTCATCTCACATATTGTTTTTTGTCTTATTGTCTTTATAAAAAAAACAATATAAGATGTTGACATGACTTAAACCGTAACTGTTCAGATAGGAAGGGAATGAATGGAAGAAAGATTAGGAGGGGAGAGAATCTTCCTCCGAAAATAAATCTGTCGTGAAGCCAGAGCGTGAGACAGTTTGATGGATATGTCTTCATCTATAGTGGCTATCTGAAAATGTCGAGACCATGCAACTGGATTGCAAGCAGCAATTTTGACCAACATGCATGTATGTTTTGTAAATTATTGTCCTTTGATTGCACTATATTCTATAAGTAGGGTCACTTAGGATTGACCCTTATGCCACCATATATGGGATGGGATATGATCGATTGAAGAATTCTGCTTGCATCTCTATCTTTGGTACTTTGCCTCAACATTTTGAGAAGTTACGCAACAAACCTGTATACGTACATCATCCACTCGTAATGTCCCTCTCAGCTTTCAAGTAAGTTAACGTGAGGTTATCTATATAATTTTATAAAGATGAGATTACTTGGGGAGATATTATTAGTATTCTAAAAACTGTATCATGTGTAGTTCTCTTGTTCTTCACGTGTAATTTGTTGTGTTAGTAACAATTTCCAGTTTTATTTTTAAAGATAACACGAAACATTAGTATTATTGTGATAAAGTTGGTATTTATGTCGAAATTTCTTATTACATTGTCAAAGTAGATTTTTCTGAATGGATACGATTGCACTACTAAATCATCGTTCAAATTAATGGTTTACTGGTACACGCCCTTTTTTTAATTGTACAATAGAGTAATCCATTCAAATTTTAGAATACTCACTCAAAACCAATTGATAACAGGTAGGAAAACTCAGGCAAACACAAATTATTATATTAAGTATTTTAAGAGCATCATAGATCAATCCGTTAGAATATCCCACTCAAAACCAATTGATAATAAGTAAGAAAACTCAAGTTAGCACAAATCATTATAGTGGCTTATGAATTCCAGTCCTATCCCATTTACAATATCTATTGGATATAATCCAGCTACATCATTTCAAAGGTTTTAGCAATTAACTTAACCCTAATTGAGAATTAACAAAGAAGCTCAATATATAGTCCCAGATTATACATAATGCTTGGAATTTTTTTGTAGTGATCATG